CTGTATGTCACTCTCCATGGATTATCAAGAAGTTTAGAAAGTTTATCCTTTTATGTTGAAGACATTTATTGTAGAATAAATAGGATTAGAACACATTTTGAAAATCTATTATAAGGTCACAACTTTGGGAGGCTGAGGCGGGTGGATCATGAGTTCAACAGATCGAGACCATCCTGGTCAACATGGTGAAACCCCGTCTCTACTCAAAATTCAAAAAATTAGCTGGGCATGGTGGCGCGAGCGTATAATCCCAGCTACTCGGGAGGCCGAGGCAGGAGAATTGCCTGAACCCAGGAGGCGGAGGTTGCGGTGAGCCAAGATCGCGCCATTGCACTCCAGCCTGGGTAACAAGAGCAAAACTCCATCTGAAAAATAAATAAATAAAATTAAAAAAAAAAAAAAGGTCACAACTTATTAGAAGTTGTAGAAAAATGGAATAATTTAGGTTCCTTGTAAGTGGTATTATTGACTATTGGTTGTTCTTTTTTAGTGGTCTCCAGCTACTTAGCCATGATCGATTGCTATAATCCTTATTAAGTATTTGAAGATGTTGAGTACCATCCACTGAAAGAGTCCCAGGGCTGATTGAGGAAGTTTGTGAATATTAAAAGATGGAGATGGCCAGACACGGTGGCTCAGCCTGTAATCTCGGCACTTTGGGAGGCCTAGCCAGGCGGATCACGCGGTCGAGATATTGAGACCATTGTGGCCAACATGGTGAAATTCTGTCTCTACTAAAAATACAAAAATTAGCTGGGATTGGTGGCACGTGCCTGTAGTCCCAGCTTCTCTGGAGGCTGAGGCAGGAGAATTGTACAAACCCGGGAGGCAGAGGTTGCAGTGAGCTGAGATCGCGCCACTGAACTCCAGCCTGGAGACAAGAGCGAAACTCTGTCTAAAAAATAAAAATAAAAAAATAAGATGGCGACACTGAGTTTTGTTTTTTAAAGTACTTTTGTGAATTACAATGTATATGTAACTAAATATACTGACTTTAAGCATATGGTTTAATGTATTTTCACAAATATGTCAGTTATGCACCCACTACCGCAGTCCTGGGTAGAACATCTGTATCACCCAAGCATGTTCTTTCTGGTGTCTTTGCCGTCAGTCCCTTCCCCCACACTCTGACCTTGCTGATCACTGATCTGCTTTCTATTGCTCTAGTTTGCCTTCCTCTAAAGTTTTCATATTTTGGGGATTGTACATGCAGTCTTTTGCGTTGGCTTCTTTTCCATAGTACAATGCTTTTGAAATTCATTTACATTTTTGTACATATCAGTAATTGTTTCCTTTTTATTACTTAGTAGTATTCCCTCCTGTGATACACCACAAATTGTTTATCCATCTACCAGTTGATGGACATTTGGATTCTTTCAAGTTTGGGGTTATTATGAATAAGGCTGCTGTGAACATTCTTGTTCAAATCTTTGTGTAGAACCTGTGTGTTTAAATTGCTCTTAGGTATATACCTAGTAGTAGAATTGCTGGGTCATATGGTATGTGCTTAACTTTATAAGCAACTGCCAAATTGTTTTTCAAAGTACTTGTAACATTTTAAATTTCCAACAATCATTGTGTGAAAATCCAAGTTGTTTCATATCCTTATAAATACTTGATATTTTCAAGCCTTTTTAAATTTAGCCATCTTATTTGGTATGTAGTGGTCCTTTTTTCCTTCTTAATATGGTTGTTTGGCACTTAGTTTTAATATCGTTAGTGAGTTTATAAAAAGAAACATAAGGAAAAGATAGTGTTGCTTTTACAGTTTCTAGAAAGATGTTCTTAATGGATATTTTGTTTCCTGACTGTGTGTGCATGCACATGCACGTGTGCTTGTTTGGGGCATGCCTGGAGGAGTTCTTCTGTCATCTGATGGCCGGGTTTCATTTATCTTACCTTGCTTCCTTGCATATATACTCTTTATGTCCGAGGAATCTGTCAGTTCACATTCCCCGGGAAAACCAATTGTGGATTTACTAACTACTCTAAAGACACACTCACAGTTACACTCTCATCCCATGCAAACCTTAACTCCAGTGCTGCTCTGAAGGCCTTCCTTGGTGACCTCTGTCATCAGCCCACAGGGAGCAGGACACCATCTGGTGCTTTTCAGTTCTCATGCACCTAGCCCTGTGCAGCAGTACGTAGTGGGGGAGTCAACACATGACTTGTTACCAAGCTGCTGACCTGGCTGACCCAAGTGCTCTGTAGTGGTTCTAGGGTTTCAGTGAATACAAATTCAGTCTGAACTGATAGATCTAATACTAAATCATTTTGAAATTCTACTTTCTTTTTTATTTTATTTTATTTTTTTTTTGAGATGGAGTTTCGCTCTTGTTACCCAGGCTGGAGTGCAATGGCGCGATCTCAGCTCACCGCAACCTCCACCTCCTGGGTTCAGGCAATTCTCCTGCCTCAGCCTCCCGAGTAGCTAGGATTACAGGCATGCGCCACTACGCCCAGCTAATTTTTTGTATTTTTAGGAGAGACGGGGTTTCACCATGTTGACCAGGATGGTCTCGATCTCTTGACCTTGTGATCCACCTGCCTCGGCCTCCCAAAGTGCTGGGATTACAGGCATGAGCCATCGCACCCAACCCGAAATTCTACTTTCAAAGCTGCTTATGTAAGCTTTGAGTATAGAATACCTACATTTTGCTTGAGAGAGTCCATAAATCTACTTGAAAATATGTTGCAGCAAACCTATGATTATGATATGACTATGTGTAAGACAGGAAAACTGTATAATATTTCTGTATTAGATTTATCTAGGTTAGACAACCTAAGAGTATCCCAAATTTTGTTTCAGATTTCTCATGGGCATTCATATTTTAATCTACCTTTATCAGTGAGGCATAAGGCAGAGTACGCTCTTAATAACTTTGAAAGTTGGGTTGACTCATAATGTGATCATGCTGTGTAGAAATGTTTTTTTTAATTTATTTACACTAAAATAGATGAAATTGTAAACTCTTAAGAGGTTATTTAAGAAATTAAAGATCCATTATGATCTAACAGGGCACTAGATTTACACCTAGAAAGTCTTCGAATCTGGAGTTGGCTTAGCTCTGTGACTTTGAAATGGTCACTTAACCACTCTGGGCTTTCTTTTTCTCATCGAAATGAGTCAACTGGAGCAGATGACTATACCATCCCTAAGTTGCAAGCATCTGTGCTATGAGTTATTTGTATTAGGATCGTTTTGATTTCACATGGCAACTTGGAAGATAAATCCAGTCTTGAATTTTCTCCATATGTGCTATTACTCCCTGTCTCAATCCCAATTGAGTGACTTTTCTATCTGTGAATTCATTCTAGTAAGTGTTCCGTTCTTTGCTATTTTCTCCCTTTCAAAAGTGTGAGAAGGATAAGGCAAAAATCATGAGAAAAATGAAGAGAGATTTTAGATATAATTTTTGGCTAAAACAAAAAATATTGGTTGTAAAATATTAAAATATAGAACATTTTGCTTTGTTATTATGTGTGACAATCAAATTAATATTGGCCTAAACATATTTTAAATGAATATGTCTCTAACATAATAACAGCACATGATTTTATTAGTTTGAGTTTATGGAAATCCCATATACTTCAGCAGGCAAATAAAATACTACCTTACACTTCAGGTATTAAAGCAATAAAAAAGAACCAGGGAAGCTGGAGTTTTTATTTCTATTTTAATCGAATACTACTTTTGTTCTTGTTTAACCTTGTTAGGTAATGGGACAGCAGAAAGTAGGTTTTTTGAAAGTTTTAAAACTGAGTGGAAAGTATCAATCTTAGTTGTTATTTAAATGGACATTTTCAGGCTTTCTTTGTATTTTTTGAAGCTATACAAAATCTAGGTCAGGATTTGCAGCCTTCCCAACAAATGTTTAGAGTATCATTCATTACACATCGCTCCAGAAAGGAGATGATAGTGCTGAGGACGCTGGCATAGATCTTAATGAAGTAGTTTTTAGCCATTATCTGTTGGAGTCCCAAGTGCCTCTTTAAAATATTTTTCTGTTGGTTACTCCCATAAACCTGAAAAATATACAGTAAATCTCAATAAAGAAGATATCTATTGCAGTCAGGGTACTTCCTTCCCTGTCTGTTGGCTCCTGCTTTTGAGTAAACAAAGCCGCAGTCATTTGGACTGATGGTATCTGACAAAAGCAGATGCTGGAAAAGAAGACAGTTAAGATTTTCAACACAGGATTTTCTTTAGCATTGCCAGCTGTCCCGGTAACTATCACTTTCATGACTCATCCCAGTATCTCCAAGAGCAGTGAAAGCAGAACATGTCCAGCAGAAGCGGCTTTCCTCCAGGAGCCTGGGTTTCGTTCCCCTTTTGTAAAAAGGAGTCATGTTGTTTCTGGGCCCAGTCAGTGTTAATTTTCCCTGATAATGAAACAGTCTGTACTTGAAATTTGGGACTGCGAGGCTGTCAAGATCTGTCCTTAATCCAGGAAAAAGAAGCCCAAGACCAGCGGAAATGTGTGCTTGTTTGTGACCTTGGGTCTGAACTGCATTTGGAGGACACAACGAGCTACTAGACCCATCCTGTGGTATCTTCTCCCTTTGCAAACATTAACGGTGTTTCTGGGGGACAATGTACCTGTTTTCCTACCCAGTTTTGCAGTTGTTTTTGAGGAAGCTCTATCATTTCTTACCTGATTCTGTGAGCTAGAAGGATTGACACGTCCTTTCTGGGATGTTGAGTATGAAGTGGTGTGAAGCTACGGTTCCCAGGCTGATGGCAATACGCAAGCTTTCGTTTAGTTTGTTTTCCATTGAATACATGAAGTTGGCGCCATAGTGGGATTTTTGTTTCCTTTTGGAATCAGTCTTAAAGTTTCTTGGAGCAGCTGAATTAGAAATGGGCTTTGAATCCAATTTATCCTTAGATAAATATAATGTCTGTGATTCAAGGAAAATCAGTTTCTTTTGAATGATACCTTTTAATCACTTTTATTCTCCAGCATAATTTTTAATCTTTATCTTTTTCCTTTTAGAAATCTCCAAATTGGACATTCAGAGCAGCATTCTTATTCTTTCTACATCTTGAATTAGAAACTACCAAGGCTCTGTAAGACCTGATCCAATAAAAGGTAATTACACTAAAAATCTATTATTAAAATCATGTATAAATCTGGTTATAAAGTAAATATTATCCTTTATATGTTGAGCAGAATTTAGGTATTCCCCAATTTTTTCCACCTTTTTCATTCTTAAATACTTTCCCTTCCCTCCTTCTTTCTTCGTTCCCTCCCATCCTCCCCACTTCCTTTACGTATATTCATTTAGCAAACTTTTATGGACTCTACCCTGTGCTGGTCACTGTTCTAAGCACACACACTTTATTCCAACCTTCCATGCCCTGGCAGGAATGGGGAGATTGGCAGAAACCACCCTTGTGGAACTGGCTCCCCAGCTTCTGTGTCGGCTGCTGGAGGGCAGATGCCCTGCCATTGGTCTGGCTGAGAGGCTGATCCCAGCACCTGCCCCACGTTCACTATCACCACTGGCCCTGAAATGCTTGGGTGTTTACTTGCAGTGGCGTTTTTTCCTGAGAATTCTGACACTCAGTGGATATTTAATTTCCCCAAGTCGGATGTTCGAATTATAATCACTCGGGAATAAGTAAAACAGAAACAGTGTACTGTTCCCCAGCTACTGCATATTCTCACTGGACATGGGACCTGGTATATATTTTTTCAACTATTAATGTAATGTAAATATTTAAACAAATAAATGACAGATAGATAGCATAGAATGCAACTTTCTACTCGAAAGCCACTTTCCAGAGAAAATACTGGTTAGATTTAGGTGCACATTCTTTAATTATTTTCCTCTCTGTGCACATACTAATGTTCAGATGTTCAGTCTGTGTTAAATGCCTTAACCCTATGAGTGAAAATATTGGGGTAAAGATGACTTCATAATTTCTGGCAAATGTTGTGCCTTATTCTTGTTCCTGGCCTTTGCTAATATAAATAATGATATCTATGAGTTGCAGGCCACTGGCGCACCTATGCACTTGGTTTATTTGATGGTGTTTTTTAGTCAGTTTGTAGCCCAGAGTGCTTACCTCCCATTGCATTAAGAATGCATTAGTTGTTCCAGTCAGTGTTCCATAGAGAACCTGGACTCATGTGGCCGGGTGAACACCCTTATCTTGGGTGGTGGGCAGGGGTGACGAACTTCTCCCTAAGCTGAGTACTTCTGTGTAAATCCAATGTGGCTCTTGCATCATCGATTTCATTTTTTAAAATAATTTCTATTGTGGCCAGGTGCGGTGGCTCATGCCGGTAATCCCAGCACTTTGGGAGGCAGAGGAGGGCAGATCATGAGGTCAGGAGATAGAGACCATCCGGGCTAACATGGTGAAAACCCATCTCTACTAAAAATACAAACACCCCCACAAATATCCAGGCATGGTGGCACGCAGCTGTAGCCCCATCTACTCAGGAGGCTGAGGCAGGAGAATCCAGGAGGCAGAGGTTGCAGTGAGCCAAGATCACGCCACTGCACTGCACTCCAGCCTAGGCGACAGAGCAAGACTCCATCTCGAAAAAAAAGAAAAAGAAATAATTTCTACTGTTGTTTTAAATTCAGGAGGTGCATGTACAGGTTTGTTACATGAGTATATTGTGTGATACTGAGGTTTGGGATGTAAATGATCCCATCAGCCAGGTAGCGAGCAAAGTACCTATCGATAGGTTTTCAGCCTTTTTTCCTCTTATCCCTCCAGTAATCTCCAGTGCCTTTTCCTCCCATTTTTATGTCCATATGTACTCAGCGTTCAGCTCCTACTTACATGTGAGAACATGCTGTATTTGGTTTTCTGTTCCTGAATTAATTCACTTAGGTTAATGGCCTCCAGCTGTGTCCATGCTGCTGCAAAGATTGTGATTTCATTTTTTAATGGCTGTGTAGTATTCCATGGTGTCTATGTACCACGTTTTAAAAATCCAGTCCACCATTGATGGACACCTAGGTTAATTCTGTGATTCTACTATTGTGAATACTGCCACAGTGAATATATGAATGCATGTGTCTTTTTGGTAGGACAATTTATTATCCTTCAATTATACACCCAATAATGGGATGCTGGGTCAAATGGTAGTTCTAAGTTCTTTGAGAAGTCTCCAAATTATTTTCTACAGTGTCTAATTTACATTCCCACCAACAGTGTGTAAGCCTTCCCTATCCTCTGCAGAAGGAACTTAAATGATTCAACAAGCAAAAAACCAGAGAACCCTATTAAAAAGTGGGCAAATGACATGCACAGACACTTCTCAAAAGGAGACATACAAGCAGCTAACAAACATGAAAAAATACTCAATGTCACTAATCATCAGAGAAATACAAATTAAAACCACAACAAGGCACCATCTCACAACAATCAGAATGGCTATTGTTAAAAAGTAAAAAAATTAATTTTATGTTTCACAGTGTCTCCATCCATCTTCAGCTGACAGCTGCAAGTCAGCTGAGTGCCAGACGTCTTCCTCCTGCTGGCCGCCTCTTACCCTGGCTTCCTCCCTCCCTCCTGGGATGCCAGATCATTGTCCCAGGTCCCAGACTCAGCCTTCCTACTGTCTGCTCCTAGGAGCCTTTGTTAACCTCCCCACATGCCCTCCCCCATCATGGATACCCACTATGTCCAAAAACAATTTTGCCATAAATTCCAGCAGTCCCTCCTGAGACAGGCCTGAGTAACCAAGAGGTCTGAGTATCAACATCAGTAGTCCAGAGCCTACTATGGCCGAGGGACACAGTGGGCTGCAGTAACTAAGGGACAGATGACCACTGAATGGACATGAAGCATCTGTCTAGAGCAAGGCTTGTTATCCTGGAATGCCTAGTGCCCTGGGCACTCAGAAACCCTGTCATTTGGGTCTGGTGTTCCAGGTATCATTGAGTTGCCAGCTTTGAAGCAAGGCTTCTGTTTTCTTACAGTGAGTTCCTTCAGGAAAACTTGGGCGTGGAGTGTTTCAGCTAGATTTATCAGCTGACTTATGGGCTGGAGGGTATGGCTCTGCTCAAACCAGCCCTGACTCCCTTCCTGTCCATTGTTTCAATTCTTCTTATGTCTAATGACAGAAAGCGGTCCTGGAGAGCCATATTCCTCAGTGCTGAGGGTAAGAGTGTGGGCTTTAATGTTAGAAGGACCTGGGTCAGGACCTGGACTCTGCCATGTGCAATGTGTACAGCCCCAGGAAAGCTGTTTACTCAATGTGCCAGCTCTTCATCCACCAAAGCAGAATCACAGTAGTGGCCAGACCATAGGATCATTGCGAGGAATGTGAGTTGCTACATGGGCTGGCACTTGAGAAGTGTTTAGAGTATGTTACTAGCTTATGTACTGTGATCTTCTGCAGAATGGAACTAATATCTACTTATGAGGGTTGCCGTAGGCATTAAATGAGGTGGTGTATGTAAATACACTGTGCTGGGCCCATAGTGCATACTCTGAAACTGAGAGCCCTCTGTGATAATGGTAAAGTAAAAATAGCACTATCAGCAAATGTGTTCAGAATGGGACAGGCATTGTGACTGGAGTGGGAGGGAATATCTAACAGTAGTAGAGAAGAATGGCTGCAAGTTCAGTAATCTCATCATTAGTTTAACTCACTGTCTAAACCAGTCACAAAGGTTCATTCATAATGGCTTTGGTTATGATTGACCACTAGAGTAAATAGTCAAGAGTTATGTGTCCAAAAATCATTTTATTCTTTTTTTTTTTTTTTTTTTGAGAAGGAGTTTTGCTCTCGTTACCCAGACTGGAGTGCAATGGCGCAATCTCGGCTCACCGCAACCTCCGCCTCCTGGGATCAGGCAATTCTCCTGCCTCAGCCTCCTGAGTAGCTGGGATTACAGGCATGCGCCACCATGCGCAGCTAATTTTTTGTATTTTTAGTAGAGACGGGGTTTCACCATGTTGACCTGGATGGTCTCAATCTCTTGACCTTGTGATCCACCCGCCTCGGCCTCCCAAAGTGCTGGGATTACAGGCGTGAGCCACTGCGCCCGGCCCCAAAAATTATTTTATTCTTATTAGGGGCTACTTTTTGAATATAAAAGGCAGTATGTTCTTGGATTTTTATGAAATTTAGAAGTTAACTTAAGAATAAAGATAGTAGTAATGATTTTGTTCTCTCATTAGACCATTTTTTTCCATCATCCTTAAATGCGAAGTATACTGGAGAATGCTCACCTAGATTATATGGTTGTTATGAAACTATTGAAGGAAGCAAATTGAAGTCTAATAACGTTTGACCCTCTTATATCATACCTAAATTAAATGAGAAGTATTTAATAAATATTGGCATTCATTTTCCTGTACTTTGAACCAAAGACACATTTGAGTCCTCGGTGTATTAGAGAATTTTCTTACCATTTGTTTCACGTGTTTGCTTTTTGTACACTTGAAACTAATGATATTACCTGGCTTACAAATGTCTTTTAAAGAGAAGAGTTACTAATTACATAATTTACTATAAGTCACCTTAGAAAGTGAATGAATCTGGGGCCAGGCGCGGTGTCTCACTCCTGTAATCCCAGCACTTCGGGAGGCCAAGGCGGGTGGATCACCTGATGTTGTGAGTTTGAGACCAGCCTGACCAACATGGAGAAACCCCATCTCTACTAAAAATACAAAATTAGCTGGGCGTGATGGTGCATGCCTGTAATCCCAGCTACTCAGGAGGTGGAGACTGAGGCAGGAGAATAGCTTTAACCATGCTCCAGCTTGGGCAACAAAAGTGAAACTCCTTCTCAAAAATAAAAAAATACAAACAAAAAAAGAAAGAAAAAGAAGTGAATGTATCTGAGCTTTCCCGGTCACAGAGACCTGTCCTGTTATCTTAGCACCCAGGCCTGGCATTGAACATGCTCAGTACAGATGGGAACTGAATTAAAAATGCAGCAAAGGAATTGAAGATGTGGAATCCCATTTGTTAGAGCACTGAGAATATGATGACTTTTCAAATTTGCCTTTAGCAGTACGGTTTAAACTATAAAGAAAAACATTGTAATGGGAGTAACGTGTGCATTTGAATGCAGTGATAGTGACACTAGTTCTTTGTTCTATGCTACGTTTAGG